CTTCGATGATGTTTTCGGTGTTGGAGGTTTTACCGGTCTTATCCGAGGAAGGGTTCTCACCATTTTCTTTTGGGACTTTTCTCATTTGCTTATTATTGGTACTTCTATCAAGATTGTGTTAGCCCTTGTCGCTAGCTTTTCAACAAACTTGGTTTCGTCGAATTTGGAGTCCGTTTGCAGAAGTTGTGGTAGTTTTGGTGTTCTCGAAAGGCTGCAGCGGTACTACCGCGGGTAGGAGCGGAAGTAATTTTTTACTACCGCTTGGAGCAGTACTACCGCGGCTACTTCCGTGGCTATTTCCGCTCGTGGCCAAAAACTCGTCACAAGTCCAGCGGTGGTAGGCACGGATGTAATTTTTTAGTACCGCTCGCAAGCAGTAGTACCGCTACCCTTAGCAGTAGCACCGCTACCCCCAGCGGTAGTACCGTGAGGTCAAGCGGTACTACCGCTCCGACGGTTCTTCTGGCCTTTTTGCCTCCTCGCTGTTGTGTTTTGAAGGGATACTACCGCCCTAGCGGTAGTACCGCTCCTTGGAGTGGTAATACCGCTCTGTGCGGGCTGTGAGCATAACGGTTGGATTTTTCCCCACCTATAAAAAGGGGTCTTCTTCCCCATTGAGTCTTATCCTTTGAGCTCGTGTTCTTCCCCCATTGTTGACCTTCTTCGAGCTTACTAACTCTCAATCCCTCCATGGATTCTTGCTAGTTTTTGAGGGAAAAGAGAGAGGAGATCTAGATCCACATTTCCACCAATCACTTTCTCCTCTATGTGAGGGGAACTCCTTGGATCTAGATCTTGGAGTTCTTGGTGTTCTCCTTCTTGTTCTTCCTCTCCTTTTCTTCCCTAGCATTAGTTGCTTCGGTGGGATTTGAGAGAGAAGGACTTGGGCACTCCATGTGCCCTTGCCATTGCATTTGGTGCATCGGTTTGAGTTCTCCATGGTGATACGTGGAAGTTACAAGTTGAGAAGCCTATTACTCTTGGGTGCTTGGTGCCCTTGAGCTTGTTCCTCTTGGGTGCTTGGGCGCCCTAGACGGTTGGTGGTGTTCGGAGCTCAATCATTGTGGTGTAAAGCTCTGGGCAAGCGTCGGGGTCTCCAATTAGGTTGTGGAGATCGCCCCGAGCAATTTGACGGGTACCGGTGACCGCCCCTAAGGGTTGTCAAAGTGTACGGGTTCGGTGACTGCCCCCAAGGGTTGCCATTTGTACGGGTTCGGTGACCGCCCTCAAGGGTCCCTTAGTGGAATCACGGCACCTTGCATTGTGCGAGGGCGTGAGGAGATTACGATGGCCCTAGTGGCTTCTTGGGGAGCATTGTGCCTCCACACCGCTCCAAACGAAGATTAGCATCCGCAAGAGTGTGAACTTCGGGATACATCGTCGTCTCCGCGTGCCTCGGTTATCTCTTACCCGAGCCCCTTTACTTATGCACTTTACTTTGTGATAGCCGTAGTGTTCCTTGTTATATATCTTGCTATCACATAGTTGTTTATCTTGCTTACCATAACTTGTTGGTGCACATAGGTGAGCCTAGTTGTTTTAGGTTTTGTGCTTGACAAATTAACCGTTAGGTTTATTCCGCATTTGTTCAAGCCTAAACCATGATTATTTTAAAGCGCCTGTTCAAACCCCCCCCCCCCTCTAGGCGACATCCATGATCTTTCAACCTCGACCTTGCTCTAATACCAATTGTTGGAACTTCGCCCACGGGATCGATCACATCACAGTACGACGAACACTCGCACAAAAAACTTTTATAGCCAAGGGCTCTTGTCGTGCCCTTTGTTTCTTCTCTTTTTATTTTCTGTTTTCTTGCACATGGTGTTACAATAAACTCACGCCAACCATGTGTATATATATACGCACACAGCCGGTAAGGACCATGGCTAGCAAACCTAGCCGGAAACTGAAACACGCTTGGACTCTGCTACGTACTACTACGCCTACATGTCACGGACTCTACTTCCAAGCCGACTCCAACCTAGACTACTCCTAGTCTCACCTAAACTAATCACCGGCTACATTAATCACCGGTGTCCTAACCAGACACGACCTAGGCAACTCGTACATGCACACACTAATACAAACCTAACAATCAAGATTATGCTAACAATCTTCCCTTAATCTTGACTTGTTATCTCCTCGTATTCCTTCTGATCTTGACTTGACGATCTTGTCAACGTATGATCCAGACTCCCAGTCACGCTGCCAGGCAACACCATTGATCACCCCTAACGCAATACATGTCAACGGATCACACACCGTCCCATGTAGAGACAGGTCCTCATTGAAGAGGCTCCCCTTCACTGGTCCTCGTCTCACTACACGCTTGAGCTTGATCTCCACTTCATGTCTTCGCCCTCGGTACTACACCATACCGTACAGCCCTTCGAACATGACACACCTCATCTTCAACCGATCTTCGCAGAGACGAGTACTTGGACATGACGATGACGACGACTCATCAGCGCGACGACGACCAGTCGCGCTAACTTGCACGACACCTTGAGACTCCTTTGGACGATGATCTTGATGAGATCCTCCGGCACCACAACTCAGTACCACCGCACCCATCAACGATCATCTTCCACCGCCTTGCCGACGACAGCCTGCCGCCTCCCTCCATGTTGCTCCGTCGAACGACAATGGCCTGATCCTCCTCGCCGCTGCATCTCCCAATGACTTCATTGCCCGCCCCAAGGCGCTAGTCGGGTCGCCACCCCGGGGCAAGCGCAGCGTCACCTTGACCTTGCTCTGATACCAATTGTTGAAACTTCGCCCACGGGATCGATCAACACAGTACGACAAACACGCGCACAAAAAACTTTTATAGCCAAGGGCTCTTGTCGTGCCCTTTGTTTCTTCTCTTTTTATTTTCTGTTTTCTTGCACACGGTGTTACAATAAGCTCACACCAACCTTGTGTATATATATACACACATAGCGAGTAAGGACCATGGCTAGCAAACCTAGCTGGAAATTGAAACACGCTTGGACTCTGCTACATACTACTACGCTTACATGTCACGGACTCTACTTCCAAGCCGACTCCAACCTAGACTACTCCTAGTCTCACCTAAACTAATCACCGGCCACATTAATCACTGGTGTCCTAACCAGACACGACCTAGGCAACTCGTACATGCACACACTAATACAAACCTAACAATCAAGATTATGCTATCAGACGCGCCTGTCATCGCAACCAGCAGAGCACACACAAGATAGATAGTTCTCCAGAAGAAACAATGATCCAAGCATGATGTTACAATATGTTCCACAGAGGCATCCGGAAAGATATCACGCCAAGCATCATTCGCCATGACTCGATCGAGCCGTAGTCTTACATTCTTCCTACCGGCACGTTTGTTATCATAAGTGAAAGGAAACGCCTCTGAATCCAAGATCCTGAGTGCAAAATCATCCAAAGCTTCACGAAAGGCCTCCACCTGCCTCTCGGCGCGGCGAGTGAGGGAGAAGTGCTCAAACTGCCAGATAGCCTCGTTGAAGTCGCCAATAACGGTTCATGGTAAATCTGACTTTGCTTTAAGCTCCCGCATTTTGACCCACATAAAGTATCTGTTCTCCACCTTGTGCTCGCCATAAACACAAGTTAATCCCCATGTTGCATTGCCCGGAGCCATACCAATGTGTGCATCAATGCATCTCTGATTAGCCTCTTTTATCTCCACATACAGAAGAGGGCCAACCCTCCACTAAGCCCTTCTCTACTCACACCAGCAAAGCCTTTCAGACCAAGCCAGTTACGTAGTCGCCGAACTCTATCTTTGCCTTGTCTAGTCTCACATAAGAAAATAAAGCGAGGATGGTATACTTGATTGAGGGTCAGGAGGTCACGAACTGTCCGGGAGCCGCTGATTCCCCGACAATTCCACACCAATCCATTCATTCTTGTTGCTGTTGTTTTCCTGTGAGGCGGTGGCGTCAGTAAGGCATACAGAGTACTAACTGAGCCACCGGGATCAAGTTGTACTCCTTCTGATCATAAACTGCTGCGAGCCCTTCCCAACTCGGTTCCATCTGCATGGTCTATTTTCTCTGATTCTAATTGGCATCCCCTGGTCTCCTCAAATTTGCAGACCTGGCGGGCGCTGCCGTAGTAACGGATGCTGCCGCAGAGGCGGACGGAGCCGCGCTGGCGGACGATGCCGCAGAGGAGCCGCAATATGTCCGACCCGGGGGCGACCACAGGCTAGTTCTTAACAAGGTTTATAATTTCAGAAACAAAACAATTTCGGACCTCATTGAAATATGCAAAATTTCGGAATATTTTGGATTTTAAGTTCGAATTTCACTTAATTTTAATGAATTATGACTTAATTTAAATTTATTGAAATCCGTTTAAAAAATTATCAAAATTTCGGTGTTTAAAATATTTCAGACCCCACTGAAATATGTGAAATTTCATTGCAATTTTTAACCCTGGTTAACACAGTATAATTTTCTCAAAAACAAAAAATTGTACAGCACTATTCCACAGACAGGAGATCAGGCCAGCTAAAACCGAATGACACAGATGGCTGCTCCTCCTGCAAATGCGATGTGGTGAGTGGTGATTGACCATGCCATTGCCATACATGCATAAGAGAAGGGATGGATCATGGCGCCCGGGATCCATTTCCATCCCAGCCACGATCTGATCTCCCATTTGCCCACCAACACATAGACCGAAACCAACCAAGGTAACACATGGATCCTACATTTGCGATTTGCTAGCTGACCATGCCATATTGCTTCCCATACACACATACTAGGATAGGAACCAAGGCAAGGCAGCAAACAAACGAACGCGCGCGAAACGCTGAGCTATATTAAACCGCGCCACCACCGGTGATCGCTCGCTGCGCGCACTCCCAGCCAGCCACTCGTCGACCGACCCTGGCCATGCCGTCGACGCGCTGACACACATTGCTCGCTCTGGGCCAAAGGAGGAGCCAGGAGCCGATCGGTCGAGCACTGCAAGGACACGCCATCGTGGTCATGCCCTCCGGCGCCGGTGGCAAGGTCATGCCCAAGTCCAAGGCCTCCTTCTTCCTCTACGGCTTCCTGCTCTACGTGCTCCTCCCCGTGCTCGCCGTCTACGTCGTCGCCCTCGCCCTCTCCCCGCTCTACTCCGGCTCCTGCCCGCCGGCCGACGACGCCAGCAATGCCGTCGCTCGTCTCGCGGCGGACGCCGGTGCCGGCCGCAACGCTTCTTCGTTTTCGTCGTCGAATAATGTGATGCTGCGTTCGCCGGCGCCGATGGCGCGGCGCGTGGGGAAGCCGAAGCCGTCCGCGGACGCCGCGCCGACGGGGCTGCGGCACATCCTGTTCGGCATCGGCGCCTCGTCGTCCATGTGGAAGAGCCGGCGGGAGTACATCCGGGTGTGGTGGCGGCCGGGGAAGATGCGCGGCTTCGTGTGGCTGGACAAGCCGGTGCCGGAGTACTACTCCCGGAACTCCTCCACGGGCCTCCCCGCCCTCAAGATCAGCGCGGACACGTCCGAGTTCCCCTACACGCACGGCGCCGGCAGCCGCTCGGCGCTGCGCATCTCCCGCATCGTCTCCGAGAGCTACCGGCTGGGGCTCCCCGGCGTGCGGTGGTTCGTGATGGGCGACGACGACACCGTCTTCTTCCCGGACAACCTGGTGGACGTGCTATCCCGGTACGACCACACGCAGCCCTACTACATCGGGAACCCGTCCGAGAGCCACATCCAGAACCTCATCTTCTCCTACGGCATGGCCTTCGGCGGCGGCGGCTTTGCCATCAGCCGCGCGCTGGCCGCGCAGCTGGCGCGCATGCAGGACGGCTGCATGCACCGCTACCCGGCGCTCTACGGCAGCGACGACCGCATCCACGCGTGCATGTCGGAGCTGGGCGTGCCGCTCACCCGCCACCTGGGCTTCCACCAGTGCGACATCTGGGGGGACGTGCTCGGCCTGCTGGGCTCCCACCCGGTGGTGCCGCTCGTGACGCTGCACCACTTCGACTTCCTGCAGCCGGTGTTCCCGGCGGCGCGGTCCCGCACGGCCGCGCTGCGGCGGCTCTTCGACGGGCCCGCGCGGCTCGACCCGGCCGCCGTGGCGCAGCAGTCCGTGTGCTACGACCGGGAGAAGCAGTGGACGGTGTCCGTGTCGTGGGGGTTCGCCGTGGTGGTGGTGCGCGGGGTGGTGTCGCCGCGCGAGATGGAGACGCCCATGCGCACCTTCCTCAACTGGTACAAGCGCGCCGACTACACCGCCTACTCCTTCAACACGCGGCCCGTGGCGCGCAACCACTGCCAGCGCCCCCAGGTGTACTACATGCGCCGCTCGCGCATGGAGCGCCGGGTCCGGCGCCGGCGCACCAACGCGACGCTGGAGACGACCGTGACCGAGTACGAGCGGCACACCCCCGCGCCAAACGTCACGTGCCGCTGGCGCATCCCCGACCCCGCCGGCCTGCTCGACCGCGTCGTCATCGTCAAGAAGCCCGACCCCGACCTCTGGAAACGGGTACATCCTCCTACTACGCATGCATGTCCCTTCATTCGTGGCATAGTTTTCCTTGGTGGTGCTGATCGATAGAGCTCGTGTGCGTGCGTGCGTGCAGTCTCCGAGGAGGAACTGCTGCAGGGTGGTGTCGTCGCCCAGGAACGGGACGAAGCTGGACCGGACCATGGCCGTCGACGTGGGTGTCTGCCGGGACGGCGAGTTCGCACGAGTTTAGCCAGCCAGCTAAGGTAATCCACTAATCCCTCCCTGCTAGCAGCTCCCTTCAACAACGTCTCCGATATCTATGCATGGCATATCTAGGCACCAGAACTTGCTCTGATTTTCCTCTGTTTGTTTGCGCAGGGGAGCTAGGACGACAGGACACAGCAAAATGCAAGCGAGCTGCCAAGATTATCAGCTAGATTTGGTACCCATGCTAGACCTGGCACGCAGGCCGGATCGAGCATCCATGCAGCTCGATCGCAGCGGCGGGTCGCGCCGTCGATCGTAAAGGCGCGCCAGCTTCGGGCAAAACAAATGTAGATGTAGCAGCTTCTGGGCAGGTGTGAGAACCTTGTCAGGGAAATGACGAGAGCACCTCGTTCTTGTGCATTTTGCGAGGCACCGGTCTTTGTGGTTGCATGTGATGTGTTTCCTGCATCACGACGGGCAGGCCGCAGCCAGATAATATCTATCGTGGCTCACTAACTAGATGGCACAGCAGACTTTTGCAACAGTACAGACCTATTTGCTTACTAAATGTGATTTTTAAGATTTTTACAAAAGTGCTCAACAATACAGCCATTGTTGTAGCAGATAAAGTTGTAGCTCCTGTCCAGACAGCCTTTATTAGAGGTAGATACATTCTGGATGGGGTGATTGTGTTGCATGAAGTACTGCATGAAGTACATAGGAAAAAAGAGAGTGCAGTGCTTTTTAAAATAGATTTTGAAAAAGCTTATGATAAAATTAATTGGGATTTTCTGTATTTTGTCATGGAAAAGAAGGGCTTCCCTCATAAATATAGAGAATGGGTCAAACAGACAGTAGAGAGGGGTAAGGTAGCTGTTATGGTGAATGACCAGATTGGTCCTTTTTTTTTGAAACGAAAAAGGGGCTGAGGCAAGGAGGTCCTTTTCCCCCAATCTTGTTTAATATTGCTATTGATATTCTTAACTTGCTCATTTTAAAAGCTCAAGACTTGGATCTGGTACAAGGCCTAGTGCAAAACTTAATACCAAATGGGATCAGTATGTTACAATATGCAGACGATACTATCTTTATGTTTAAGGATAATCTAGAGAGTGCTAGGAACTTGAAATTGATTCTTTGTATGTTTGAACAACTTTCAGGTCTCAAAGTTAACTTCCATAAAAGTGAGGTTTTTTGTTTTGGTGAGGCTAAAGGGAAACAAGAGTGTTATTCTAATATTTTCACGTGTGCTGTTGGTAAACTACCTTTTAAGTATTTAGGGATACCTATTAATGTTGTGAGGCTATGTAATAGTGATTGGAATTGGCCTGAGGAGAAGATGGAGAAGAAAATGAGTGTTTGGAAAGGTAGAAATAGATCATATGGGGGTAGATTAATACTAATTACTTCCAGTTTGTGCAATATCCCCCTTTATATGATTTCTCTCTTTGAATTACCTAAAGGACCTAGTAAGAAAATGAATTTCTACATGAAAAGAATGCTATGGCAAGAGGAAGAAGATGTTAAGAAATATCATTTAGTGAAATGGGAGGATGTGTGTAGACCTAAAGAGATGGGAGGTTTAGGTGTTTTAGATTTGGATACTATGAATATTTGCTTACTTTGTAAGTGGATATGGAAACTTGAAAATAATAATGGTCTTTGGCAAGATTTAGTAAGGAAGAAATACCTGAGCAAATGTACTCTTAGGGGGTGCAAAAAGAAGGTTGTGCAGTCTCATTTTTGGCAAGGAATTATGAGAGTCAACCCTATTTTCCTACATTACAGTAGAAAAATAGTGGGTAATGGGGAGAGAACTATGTTCTGGAGCGATATTTGGCTGGGAGACAAACCTCTCAGTGTGCAATTCTCTAGATTGTATGCCCTAACTTTCAGTGCTAATTTTACTGTTGCTAAAGCCTTATCCGAGAACATGAACTTGATAAGATTTAGAAGGATGTTATGGGGGGACACTGCTGATATGTGGTATGAGCTGAAAAGCATATGTAGTAGTGTAACCTTGAATGAGCAGGAGGACAAGTGTAGTTGGTTATTAACTAGATCAGGAAACTTTTCTGTTCGATCCTTGTATCTGCTGGAATTTTTGTCCATTTGGACCTAGCCCAATAGCAGTTTTAGAAATTCCTAATAAATCCTAGAGGCCCACGCAGCCCATTAGTGCAAGGCAAGAGGTGGAACTAAAGTTTAGTCCCACATTGCTAGTTTAGAGGGAGTTGGACCTCTTTATAAGGGAGGCTCTTTCTCCACTTGTATCAGCATGAGAATAAGAGGGACATCCACGCGCGCTCCTCCTCCGGCGCCCGCCACGCCTCGTCACGACGCGTCGCGCCGCGCCGCGCCACGCCACGGGTTGCGGGAATGAGCAAATCCGATGCACTACGGGTATACGAAAGGTCACACGAAAGCTGAAAAGTTTTGCGATAGTGGAGTTTGAATGCGAACGGTGCAACCCTTCGGCTGCTGGCTGTTCGCTTCATCTTCGTCTCTTCGTTTCACCTTCCGTCGCTGCCCTCTCACCTCCTTCTCGTGCGCCTATAAAAGGGAGGTCGCTCCTCTTAGAGAGACGTACCAGAACTCATTCTTCCTCTCGCCACCAGTTCTTGAAAATTGCGCTGCTGCTACGATCTTCCTCATCCCGGCTTGCGGCGTGCACCGTAGGTCGGGACAGTAGGCCTCCGAAACCGCACCTCTTTGAGTCCTGTACGGAAGAAGGATGATAAGGTTTTTGGGGAGTGCTCTGCGCGACTACTGACTTCTTCGTCACGGACGCCCCTGACTCCGATGACTACTTCCCCAACGACGACTACTTCCCCGACGTCGACATCCTCCTCGACAACATGGAGGACACCGACCCCAAGTCCAGTGCCTGCTCCGGCTGCTGTCTCGTACGTGTTCTTGTTTTTCCTGTTAGAGGTCCTGTCATAGTTGCTTGTTCTAGTGTTTGCCCTAGACATGTTAGGATCTACCTCATATATGCATCTTGATCTACTGTCTGCTCTAGAGATGATCGGTTCTAGCTCATATATGCAGATGTTATTTACCTTCTCTTTGTCAAATCACATGACTTTTTTTATCACTGCTATACTAGTCATGCTTTATCTAGTATTTCTGTTAATAAAATCATTCGATAAATTGCTCATATTTCCAACAATCCAAAAACCTTACTATAGGCAATTTACCCCGAGTGGTTTTGCTGCTGCCATGAGACCTCCTATGTTTGATGGTATCCACTATAAGAGGTGGCGGGTGAGAGCAGTCTTATGGTTTCAGACCATGAGCTGCTATGATGCTACTCTTGGCAAACCTGAAGGAGAGCAAGATGCCCAACAGGCACAAGCTTTTCAGAAAATGGATACCTTGTTTAAGGCTGCTCTCTTGAGTGTTCTTGGTGAGAACATAGTTGATGCTTATGCGTAAATTGATAATGGAAAAGATATGTGTGATGCACTCGAGGCCAAGTTTGGGGTCTCGGATGCTGGCACTAAGTTGTACATCATGGAGCAATTCTATGACTACAGGATGACTGAAGAGCGCTCCGTGGTTGAGCTAGCTCATGAGATACAGTCATTTGCTAGAGAAGTTGAGCACTTCAATTGTATCCTACCGGACAAGTTTATTGCCGGAGGTATCATCACTAAGATTCCTCCCACGTGGAGGAACTTTGCTACCTCACTGAAGCATAAGAGGCAGGAGTTTTCCGTTCCGGATCTCATTGGTACTCTTGATGTGGAAGAAAAGGCGAGAGCAAAGGACAACCGTGCTCGAGGTATTGAGGGAGGTTCTAGTGCCAATCTGGTACAGAAGAAGAACTTCCAGCCCCACAAGTTCAAGAACAAGGGCAAGTGTGATGGTAAATCAAAGTTTGATGGGAAGAACAAGGTTGTGCAGCACACGAACTTCAAGAAGAAGAATGACAAGAATAAAGGTGTTTGTCATGTGTGTGGAGATCCTGATCATTGGGCTCCTAGTTGCCCCAATCACTATGACAAGCGTCATCCTGGGAAAGGCGGCAAGGCCGCTAATGTTGTCATTGGAGACACTGACATGAAGGATGCTGGGTATGGTATATTTCCCACTATTCTTTCAGTATGTCATTCTCCTGATTGGTTGATTGACACGGGTGCTAATGTGCATGTATGTGGTGATATTTTCATGTTTTCGTCTTATCAGACCACAGGGACTTCAACTGTGCTGATGGGCAACGGTTCAAGTGCTTCTGTTCGTGGTGTTGGCACGGTCAATCTGAAGTTTACTTTGGGGAAGATCGTGCGGCTGAAGAATATGCATTATGTCCCCTCCGCCAATAAAAATCTTGTTAGCGGATCTCTTCTGTGTAGAGATGGCTACAAGCTTTTTTTTGAGTCGAATAAATTTGTAATTTCCAAGTATGGAACCTTTGTTGGTAAAGGCTATGAGTCAGGAGGCTTGTTTGGTTTATCCTTATCAGACCTTTGCAATAAAGTTGTTAATCATATTTGCAACAATAGTGAATCAAATGTGTGACATTCACGTCTTTTGTCATGTTAACTTTGGTTGCATGTCGCGACTAGCGAAGTTGAACTTAATCCCTAGTTTCACCACTGTCAAGAGATCCAAGTGTCAAGTGTGTGTGCAAGCTAAGCAACCACGCAAGTCTCATGTGACTGCGGAAACGAGAAATCTTGCACCACTAGAACCCATACATTCAGATCTATGTGAAATGAATGGTGTTTTGACAAAAGGTGGAAAGAAATATTTCATGACGTTAATTGATGACTCCACTAGATACTGTCATGTGTATCTTCTGAAATCTAAGGATGAGGCTTTGAACTATTTCAAGATCTATAAAGCTGAAGCGGAAAACCAACTTGATCGAAAGATCAAGAGGCTTAGGTCCGATCATGGTGGAGAGTATTTCTCAAATGAATTTGATTCCTTTTGTGTGGAACATGGTATAATCCATGAGAGGACGCCTCCCTATTCACCTCAGTCAAATGGAGTGGCCGAAAGGAAGAACCGTACTCTAACTGATTTGGTTAACGC